TAGTATAAACATAAAACTGGAAATTATGGAAATAACTATACATGTAAGTCATAAGTTTAATTATTTATTTTTTGTGCTATCCACTGAAATGCCTCTATAAATGTTTCAAAGATACGACATAAAGAACTGCAACCCATCTGAACAAGTGAAACCCAAATTATTTTGCACTGAAATTAATGGTAACTGATAATTCGAAACGCATTGGAAATATTTGCAGTAATTATCCCCTCCAATGCTGCATATGTTTTGTATAGTATTGTCGACGGAAGAGTATTGGAAAATTGACTGCTCCTCCGTATCATTGCCGGATTGGTTATCAATAAGGTCTTTGGCTGATGCGAAAAATCACTACTGTGTTGTTTGTGGTTGAAGAATTTTTTTTTATAAAATATCTTTTGTTTGTAAGGATAATTGTTATGAATTTTGGGATCACCGTATAACAGGCATTTTCTGAGGTTGGAAATTTGTGCGATTTAACCTCTGTATATATGTACAATTGTAGTAGTGTGTTAGTGGATTTATTTTAAACACATTATAAAATAAATTCAAAATTAGTTTAAAACATTAATCAAAATTTAAATTAGAGTTGTCCATAAAATTTATTCTTCTATTTTGATATCATATCAGAAAGGGGTTTCCATATTATTTCTGGTCAGTTTTTCATGGATCAGTGAATTCTTCTTTTGTTTTGTTAAAAGTATAAGTCATGTGATTTCTATTGATATGAGTATTTTTTCAAATAGAGTCTAGTGTGTTCATTTTGATCTAGACACAGAATTTTGTGATTTGTTAACCTTGGACTTTATTTATCCAAGTAAGGTCAGTGTATTTTAATATAACATGGTTATTTATTTGATGAATAGTAAAAGCTTATGTGTGAAATATTTTAGATGACTTTATTAGCAAACAGTATATGAAATGTTTATTATTGTTTAGATCCACTTGATAGATGTAGGTAGCTGTAACCTGATTGGTGTAGCTGTAAGTTACTAGTGTTCGATACCATATATTGGATAAGATACGTGATGTATATATTTTTGTATCATAAAATGCGTGTCTGTATATTTTGTGTTTACATGAACAAACCATTGTTATGTAAATCGTAACGTGAAGCATTTCTATTTCATAAATAGTAGTGCTTTATAATTCAATTACTCCTGTATTATTTTATTCACTAAAGTTTATAATAATTATGATATACAAAGAAAATAAATCATATATAGATTATTATTGTTTTATCCTAATAATATTAATTTCATGGTAAAGCGAGAAATAATATTTATAGAAGAAATAATTATAGAGTAGGTTATATTATGAAGCAGGAAGAGTTATCTCTCTTTGTGTATTTTATTGCATGTGTTATATTGTGTGTTGTATTTATTTCAGACATTTGTTATTGCTACATAAAAGATCGAAACATCAAAGAATCTTCTTGTTACTTTGTGAACCCGGTAACAAATGGCGCCCAACGTTTTTCTTCACTGCACTTTAATGCAACTTCGACTATGACTAACTCGCTATTTTGCTATTCAACCGCCAGGATTTTCCCCGCAAAGTGACGTCATAGTCCACAAGCGGAAGTGATCTTCCGCTTCGATTTTCCGGAAGTCCCGCATGTAAACAGTGAATTGTGAACCAAGTGAATTTGAGGTACTGTTTTGTTAACTTACGGCTGCGAATTACAACGTAGGTGAACTAGTGGACGACAAGATCGAATGATTAAACGTACTGATCAAGTTCAAGACTTTAATATTATTTTTGGTCCGTATTTGCAGAAAAGATTTTTGATAATTGATTTTTGACATTTTTATGATTTTGTAATTGCTTATATTGATGATTTGCTAGCATTTACTTTGACTGTGTCACTGTGTGAATATATTGTTCTACGCTATTAATTTTCAGTATACAGATTGATGAACTGATATTTTTTTATCTGTATGTAGATTAGAAGGTAGATCATATAGCATCTGTTCATATTATTTTTGGTGCAATTGGAGCATGTATTCTGAAATTATTTCTGTGTGTCCTTGACCGGAAGTGACCTGAATTTACATTGTTGACAAAAGGGTCTGGTATTTTTGATTGCGAACCAACTCGTACATATTTATAGAGAATATTCATAATAATTTATTTTTACACAGGTAGAATATTTCATACTTAGTCTGTTGGGTGTAATATTCAGAGAAATTAATTAGTACTAATTTAGTTCAGTTGGTGTATATTATTTTTTTAAGGATTTTGCCAACTGAGGTGTGACGTTTACATTGAGTTTACATTTTTTTTAAGTAGGTGTCAATTTAATGATTTAAAACTTAGTAATATTTAAGTGAAGTTGGAATAATTTCAAAGTAAAGCAACTTTACTTAATTTTTTTTTAATCAGACTTAAGGATGGATTCTTCTCATATTTCTTATAATTGGAGAATCTTGATTTTCTGAACGCTCAATATTCAGACTGTGTAGACTTATTTAACATCCAAACAAACTTGTGTAATCAGCCTTGATTTTCAGTCTAGGTCATTTGAAAGTCAGTCCTAAAAATAGTACTTTTACACAGAAAAATTTTGAAATTAACGCATAGGAATAAATTTTGCTGACAGAAAAAATATCTTAGTCAATAAAATTAAAGTTGTAACTGATTTTTGATCACTAACGAATTGAGATGGTGGGAAAAAAACATGAAATCCTTAATATTCAATAAAAACATTTAATCCGAATTTCCTCGATAATTTCTTTCAAATTTCTCAGTTTTCATAAATTTACATGAAATTTCATCTCAAATTTTACAATTGATCATGTATTGTCAAATATTTAGAATTTTGTCGGATAAATATTTAAATGTTGAAGATTAATTTACAAGGTAGAAAAGATATGGTATTCATGCTAATTAAAGAACAAATTTGGCCCGAATTTACTCTACAGTTTCTGAAATCTTCCATTTTTCAGAGTGGTGTTTAAATCCATAAGAAAGATTCTTAACCCCCCAAAATAGGCAATTTGGTGTAATTGTGACACATATATACATTCAATTCTTCCAGTTATACATTTTATTTAATGATAATTTGTACTTATAATATTTGAAATATTCATTTCGAATTTCCTCTGTCATTTTATTCTTAGGAATAAGTTAGGTTTGACAATTTTATAAAATACATTCTGGGTTCTTTTCCTATTTTATATATTCAGAAAATAATGAAATTATGCATGGAAACATTTCAAAATGTGCACAATTAAATGACAAGAAAAAGGTGTGGGGTCATCATCTTTAATTTTGCTTGAATGTCATTTGAAAAGTTGATGCTAAAAATAGGATTTTTTTTTTCGTAAGAAAATCCGACATGGTACATGTAATTTAAAATTGATGTTTTGGAAAAATGGAGATGATTAGATATGACAAAACAATTTAAGTTTCAAGTTTTATTTTAAAGCAATGTGCAAAAGTAGAAAAAAAAATAACAAACTCACACAAAATATTTACAGCAGAAAAATGAAGTGGTATTCATATTTATTAAATTGCCAGATTAGCTCGAATTTCCTCATTTTAAAAATTATCATTGAACAAAGAAATTAATGTCACTATATCATATACAGTAGGCTAATAATTCAAGAGACAGGACAGGCGGTTAGATAATACATTTCCTCTGAAATTTGATATGATGTATTATTGTGGAAATTATAGTTGAAATTATTGTCTTGTTTCCAAAAACCAATCTCTCACCAGAGGGCGCGCTCCGCCTACACCTCTGTTATCGTCTAATAGTAGTACATCGGTCAAAATGGCGGACTCGACGCCAACAAAAAATCTAACCATTGACTGTTTTATATGTTTTGCAAAAGATGTGACATGTTTTAAGCTCTCTGGTTGGAAATGTATGAATGAAAAGTTTATTGACAATTTAAATCGCATTATTGGTGATCATTTGTGCCAAGAATTGTTGAAAAGAGACGCCATGGTGTGCAGGAATTGCCATTCACGTGTGATTAATGTATGCAACTTCATACAAAAATTTGAACATTCTACTCAATCATATTTGAACACTACTATATGCAAACGAGGTGCAATTTCACCATTGACATCTCGTTCGTCTTCAAGAGTTCAGCTCCCTGTACTCCCGGTTTGTAAATCCAGAAAAATGTTGAAACTTGAAAACAATGCAACCATTTCTGAGAAAAAGTCAACTATTGACGAACATGATTATGTTTCTAAGTGCATATCTTCCCAGACGAACACAAAAAAACAATGAAGTTCTTGAGGTCCTCTGTGATGTTTACAGCGAATTGAAACAGAAAGGTAGAGAGGCAATGTGTTATTTGAGAAGTCAGTGCCAGAGTTTGACCTCCAGAGCTGCAATGTTTTCTTCTGTTTTATTCAAATATAGAGGATTGTCGGATTTGATTGAAAACACTGAAAATTTGCTACAAGACATCATTTTAGAAATGAGAAAAAGGTATGGAAGTCAATGTTAATATGAATAATTAATAAATTAAAATGGTTAGTAATTCAGTACTTCATGAACTTTGCATGGTCATCGCAACCATGAATCTTCAAAGCTGCATATCTGTAGCTTGCTGGTCTGGAAAAATGTTTGGATGAACAACCAGAGAGCTACAGTGCCACCCAGAGAAAAATCTGTATATTTATCGAGCACAAGAAGTTGCACTCGGTTCTGAATTAATTTTTTTATTTCGTGCTCTACTGATCGAGTACAGTTTCCTTTCATATTTTTTTTTATTAAATGTTTCATTAGTTGTAAATCTATTAAAGTGACTCCCACGCAACGTAATATTTTATAGTCTTTTAGTACACATGGAGTCTTTTAGATATATATCCTATTTTTATGCACAAATATGTATTATGTATTTTTTAAAGTAATTTGTTCGCCATTTTGTAAGCTTATATCTATTTTAATGTGAAGCGCACTAGAGTGTCATTATTATAATGCGCTATAGAAATAATTGTATTGTATTGTATTGTATTGTATTGTAAGATAATGCGTAAATATATTAACATCAATTTATTCTCAAAATAACATTAACTAACGTGAACATTTGTTTAGTATTTTTGAGTTCTGTAGGAAAACTGATTTTCGTCTGGTTGCCCAAAGGCACTCTGCTGTCCAAAACCGGTTGGTTGTCCGTATGAACTTTGTTGTCCGAATGGATTTGTTTGTCCGTACTGAGATGGTTGTCCGTACTGAAGTGGTTGCCCGTACTGTGGAGGCATTCCGCTTTGAGGCTGACCATACATTGTTGCCCCTGGCTGTCCATACTGCTGTCCAGTTGGTACAGCTACTAAAAGGTAGAGTTTTTTTTATTCATATAAATGCCTTTCATTTTTTTCATTTTTGATCAGTTTTTTTATCTTGTGAAAACGAGATATTATCTTGTGAAAACGAGATATCATCTTGTGAAAACGAGATATTATCTTTTGAAAACGACTTATTATATTATGTCGTTTTCACAAGATAATTTCTCGTTTTTACAAGATAATTTCTCGTTTTCACAAGATAATAACTCGTTTTTACAAGATTATAAGTCGTTTTCACAAGATTATAAGTCGTTTTCACAAAGTAATATCTCGTTTTCACAAGATAATTATGTCGTTTTCACAAGATAATTTTTTTCTGGTATTTAAAAAGAAAATAATTGCGTTTCCTAAATATACCACCGTAAGATACAAACCGAAGAAAGGAAAAAAAATATAGATTACTTTATATATAGTATATATATATATATATATATATATATATATATATATATATATATATATATATATATATATATATATATATATATATTTTACTAAAAAAAATCATTTTACTTACTTTGAACCGGGAAGGTTCTTTGTTTTACTTTACAGCATCCACATTTTATACATAAGATTATTACAAATGGAACAGCTAGCATTGACAAACAACTGACAACAATCATAACAATCATCCATGTATCTCTGTAAATTAAGAACATTTTTGGATAATTAATAATTTTATCTTCACCCGGCGTGTCAAACAATGAATCTTTTACTCTTTAGGAAGACTATATTTCTCAATACGTGGAATAATACATATTTTATGATTCTTTTAAAATCTAATTTGATAACTTCATTTATTTTGAAACTTTTCTAATTTTTTGGGTGTTGGAAATTGAATGAAATTAAATCTGTTTCAGATTCCATATCGATATTATTCATGTGAAGTTGAGATATTCGACAAATTTACATTATTATATAAATTTCCACATTTAAAGAACTCGCATTTTGATAATGTGAGCTCAGACAGTTTGAAATTTTAGTGTCGTAATAATTTGATCTTTTATTTACTATAGTAGAAGCTCGAGCTTAAGGAAATTAATGTAGTTGATATTGTCTTTTAAAACTTGGGTTGATATTAGTATCACTTTGAAAGAGGAGTAAGGAATTGGTTTGTTCCCTCTTCACTAGATTTATCATTTTCAAGATACTTTAAGTCAAATTTATAAATCCTAGTTAACTTTTTTTTTACTTTGAAGGACACCACATAATATTTTCGACATTCGTCTCGTATTTGGTCACTCTACTAACTATTGAATGGACAACTCACACCTATCCTGTAAAAGGATGAGCTAGGAAATTGTAGCTACAGATCTGCAGCTAACGAGATTATTGAACTTTTTCTTATGTCAACTTTCTTTCTTTATGCATTTTAATATTCCACTATCACCTGCATTTGGTGATACGTTTCCAAACTTAAAAACGTTCAGGCGCATGTCTGATGTTTATACAGAGGCAAGTCAATGTCAAAGAATTGATGTTACGAGGATTTTAATAACTTCGTTTCATGTCAATTCACGAGTATATTTTTTTTATCTTTCATAATCATCTTATCTTTAAGAAAAACCTATTATTGGACTTTGTTTTAACTGACATTGATCATGTTTATGCCATTGTAAGGTTTTTATTTTATATCAATTTTGACTCCGGATCACTCCTTCTTCTTTACCAAGGAGATCAAAGGTCGACAGTGAATGCTCTTACTTGTATACGTAGATACTTAGAAGTGACATTAAACTTATCTAGCTTTCTTATGCATAATAATAATTATGTTCTTTTGTTCGGGTCTTTTTTTTCTTCATTTGTTTACACAATCAATAACAAAGATGATCACAATGAGTGTTTTATGATACTCAAACATTCATCAGCAAATTGATTTTGTCCTACTTTAAATAATGTATTAGAATAAAGACCTTTCAAATCTAATAGATGAAGTGCCTGTCTTCCTTGGAAGAGAATAAGAAACTAAAAAGTACCGTGGACGAACTTTCTGCTTTTTTCCTTTTGAAAAGTTTTGCTCTTTTACACGTTTTATGTGATGAATCCATTTATAGACAATAATACAATTATACATGTGTGATTGTTATTATAACATATTGAAAGCCTATTGCTGCATTTCAAAGGTTATACAAATAGGACCACATAAATTATATGGTATAAGAACAATCTATAACGATAATAGAGAATGTTTTCTTACAGTCCAGTGGAGACGTAAGTCCTGCGAGATCTGTAAGTTGCAGAATTCACTATTCCCGCCACTGATTAGAAATTGAAAAAAAAGACATTTTTAAAAGCCTGAAAAAGTGAATATGTAATATATTATTCCTTTATTCAACTGCTTTAGGAATTTAAACTACTCCTGTTATCCTGCTACTGCATGGTCGCGTCTACCTGAAATAACCTCGTTATCAATAGAGCAAAAAACTGTTAGCTTGATACAAAATTGACGATATGTGAACTTGTTATTCTCTTAAACTCGTTAAAGCAAATAGGAATGTAAGAATAGTATACTTACAAATTATCATCATCAGAATAAAGGTCCATAACACATGTATCGTCTGTCCACCTGCCATCTTTATCCCTTTATAGAATTTTCTGATCAGAATTCGGGAATTTCGAAATGCTTATGACCTAAAAAAAACATTCTTATGGCAATATCAAGTGCCCATTGTATTCTAAGGTTTCATACTACAGGTATTAAAACATTAATGCAGGACCGTCGTTACACTAATACTGATATTGAATCTTTCTATTGTTAGTAAGTTATAAATCAATAGGTGCATATTGTTTACTGTAAACCAAGTATTATACGCGTGCGATAAATATACGCGAGTTCCGCGAGTATTCTCTGCTCGCGGATATTTATTGTCACGAACCAGTTGTTCATTATACAGTGGACCCTCATTTATCCGGACGCTTTGGTTCCCAGTCAATTTGTCCGGATATGTGAAGCATCCGGATATCTGAATCACCATTTAAACATGAGAGAATAACATTTTAAAATTTCGTTCCGATGAAAAATCGTCCGGATACTGAAGCATCCGGATATCTGGCGTCCGGATATCTGAAGGTCCACTGAATTCCTTTATTATGGGCGAATTTGTTGCACATAAACTGGTTTGGGTTTTGGTTTAAGGTTTGAAACTAGTTTTTCAAACTGGTTTCAATTTCAATCCGGTTAACCTCGGTAAAGCATACAAGATGGCGTCAAAAAGATGCAGAACAACATAATACATGTACAATGTTAACCAAATTAACGTTACACATGTAAATTTTGTTAAAATCTTTTTCTTAATAAAATAATCCAAGAAATTATAACGTATTTATGTTCTTTGATTTTCTTACTTATAGTAAAACTGCAGTACATGTATTTATGTTTTAAATGCTTCAAGGATAAATTAAATGGACAATTTCAACATTTTTGAAAATGGAAATATAAACACTCGAGTATTTATAAATACTCTTTAGATTTCCAATATTTAAGCTGTCTTTACACTTTGTTATACATTTTACCATGAATGTTGAAGTTTGTCCAAATGATTCAGAACTTATTTTTGAAAAGTAAAATTTAACATTTTGTGTTCATTATTATATAACAAACACCGTTATTTTCATATATGCATAATGCTGCATTTATCTATTCTCTGAAGCCTTATATGTAAAACATCAAATATCAGAATGTGGCATTTAAGTCAAAAGAGTTGTTTGTCCCCGAAAAACAATTATTTATAACTTTTTTTCTTTATTAGAATAGTCACCATCTTTCATCACCGCCATATTGGAATACTCCCCGCTCTTTCGTAAACCAAATAAACCATCATCGGGGGTGGTTTGGTTGGTTTAACGAACTGGTTTCAGTTGCAGTCAAACAAATGGAAAACCGGTTCTGGGTTTAAACTAGTTTAAAACCAGTTTGTGAAACAAATGAACAGTTTACAAAACTGGTTCAAAACTAAACCCAGTTTTGGGGAAACAAATACGCCCTATGTTTTATTTAGAGTTATTTGCCCTTTTTTCAATACCGATCCCGACGGTTCAATAATTAATCACGGAAGAACTCTTCTGTTATTGTACAAGAAGCAGTTGAAATTTAATTTCAATTATTCAGAAAAAATAAAAACGAATGGCAAATCTAAAAATGATTAAAATGTCAATAATCATTTCAGCTTGTGTTATTTTTGGTCATTTATTGTTACAGACGAGCCGAGATCCGAGGTAGCCTGGTTAATTATTGCTAATTATGGCCCAGTCCTGCTCTGTCCCAACCATTTATAATAATTGCCCCTGGGCTATGTAGATCTTGGAAAGCGTCGATTACCCAATTAGTATGAGGCACTTTAACAATTGAGAGTTTTAAATCAATTTTAATCTCCTAGATTTTTTCCTGATTTTCGTCTGAGCGTTGTGAAAATGTGTATATGGAGTATACTCATGGTAAACATTTTACCCACTTTAGGGGCGGATATAAGATTTTAAATGGACGCAATGCACAGAATGTCTTGAAAAATGCGTAAGCAGACCTCACACCACCATTTTACCTAGTTTATGGGCGGATAAAAAATTTTAATTTGATTCAAAAATACTCGTGGAAATAAAAAAAAAATGTGACCACTCGTTCGCGGATATTAATCGTCGCGGATTAGTTCTCTGGCGGTCAGTCGCGAATAAAAAATGACGCGTATAATAATTGGTTTACAGCACTTCACCACCTGGTAATGTGCATCTTCGCAAGCCAAGGGTTTTCGGTTCGTAACACTCCCCACAGTGTTAATTATGGACCGAAAACCCTTGGCTTGCGAAGAAGGGTAATCTGATTCTGTGTTCTTTCCTTTTATGTCCACTGGATGCTTGATTAATAAAATTTTAATGTTTTAGAGTGACAATATTGATTTATGGTTAGCTTTGCTGTTTAGATTTCCTTTTCCAAAATATCTATTTATAAGATTTGAATCTGTGAAGAATTCTCTATAATAATAAAAGCCAAAAATATATGACGTACTAAATTTTCTCGATCGATTTAGATTTTCGTGGTGTATATCCTACACACCACTTAAAATTAATTTTAAATAAATATCTGTAACTGTGTCTGTAAGAGTTTATTACATAAGTACTAACTTTTAATTGCATGATTATTGATTGATGTATTGTACGCCCTTTTCTTTTAATTTTCAAAACTAAATTATAATACTGTAACAATTATTTCCTTTTTTTAATCATTAGATGCACATTTTAACATGGTTACTGCATTCAATGCACATAGTATTTTAAAATTGATTCATTTTTCAAAGAATCATTGCAAAATTACCTATATTGTTGTGGAATAAAGATTTGTTGCAACGTGTTACAAGATTAAAGATGTTTTCTTTACGTTTTATAGATTATTGATTTTCTACGTACATTGTCATTGATAAAAACAAAACAAAACTAGATACCACAATGTTATGCTTTTAAGGTATCCGACCCATATATGCCTCGGATTCAATGGAACTGAATCAATAATAATGTGTGTCATTGATCTAGAAGTTCGACCCATGATTTAAACCTATGTGTAGTGCAGAAAGTTCACATTTAGTTCATATCCGAACACTAAATTTCAAAAGTCAATAGCATGACGTCTAACAGTAAGAATTCATAGCTATTTATTTGGTATTCTTTTTAAAGTAGAACTAGGTATATACGTCCTAAGAAACATAGCAAGTTTACCTCTAGAAATCGAGAACATATTACCTTTTGTCTTTTGAACGACATCAAGTAAAATCTCTTCAACATTGTCACACACGTTCGAATATTTCTATCTTTTATTCTTTTTAAAAAGGATTTGGTACTTTCAAAGGTCGCGTTTGTCTGTTCGATCGAGAAAGAGAGAGAAAGAGGATAGGACTTTTGCGAGAGGCTCTGACTTTTACATCTACATTAGGGGAATATACGGAAGTTCTTTTGTAATATTAATATTCGTATGACTACAGGTAGTTAATTTTAAAAAGATGATAATAGTAAATTTCAAAACACATATAACATTGTCTTGAGAGAACGACAACCTCTCAACAAAGTGGGCACTGATGAACAGATAAATGATGACTTAGCTTTTTATCTACCCGGAACAGCTGTCTTATACATTCTATCATCTTTTAGTAAACAGGGATCCATGTGCTTAAATTACACATCATTGATGTAGGCTTTTTTCTACTTATAATCGTCAAGAAATATTCTCACATTCATGCACACTCCTGATTTTTTTTTCTAATGTTCGAATTCTAGTACATTAAAGATTAAGATTTGGTGTTCATTCAAATGTATTCTTTTTGACAGGAAAGATTAAAATATCAACTGGGGAAAAAGAAGACATTAATTTTTTTTGCATTTCCACACATATAAATTATCATATACAAACAATAAACACCTTAATTATAAAATAACAGTAAGAAATATAATTATACTGATTTATATTTTGATATTTCATGTTCCACATGCACATACTCAAATATCAAATTGTCACATGCTCAGTATTTTGCACCACCATTAGAAAACTGATTTTCAACTGGTTGCCCAAAGGCATTTTGTTGTGCAAAAGCGTTCGGTTGTCCGTATTGAGGTGGTTGTCCGTATTGCATTGGTTGTCCGTATGGAGGTGGTTGTCCGTACTGAGGAGGCATTCCGCTCTGAGGCTGACCATACATAGCTCCTGGTTGTCCATATTGTTGCCCTTGCGGAACCACTGCAAGAACGTGTTTTTCTAAATGCATGAATTAAGTGGTGATATTCAAAGAAAACATGTATTATGAATGCAGTTGTTTTTTTAAGTGACCATAAGTTAGGGATTCCAAAGGTACAGGTAGAGGTATTATTTTTTCTCAATTTCCCATTAGATTGTATATGTATGACCAAGGACTTTTTGAGTTTGAAAAATCTCTATATATTTTTTTGCATTCTGTTTTTACAGATGACATTCACGATGGGCTAAATTTGTTATAAACACCTGGGTACATTTCATTTGACGTCACAATTGTTTGTTGAGCTGATTAATATTTCTAATTTCTGATCAAAAAATGAAATCAATGTACATGGAATCAAGTAAAATTATTATGAATTATTTCATAAAAATTTATGAACTGAAAAATTTTATCAAATAACGACCCCGGGAAAAATTCCAATTTGCAGTAGAAGAAAAATATCAGACAGACTTTTTAAAAGTTGTTCGTTTAAATATGTTTGACAAACAAGATAAAGGGGGTAAACTCGAAAGCTCTTTTGTACAGGGGAAGTTTGTCATTCATTGTCAGGTAGGTTTGAAAATTTTGTCATGGGTAATATGGAATTTATTGCTAGGAAAAATCAGAAATAGCTAAAAGCTGCTCTCATTTAAAAATCAAACAAACGTCTCATAAAAAGACATCTTTATTTCTGAAAGCCTTTGTTTGAACACTTTTTATCTAAAAACAATATTTTCAAACTATTCGGAAAAATTGAATTTTTTTATCTTCCCATAGACTAGTCATTTATTACATACATTTCAGAATACGTAAAGTTTAAGAGGATAGATAATCTTAAACTATAATTATAAGGTCAATGCAATCTTTTCATAGATAAATTGTTTCCACCGATATCTTGTTTATAATCAAAAAATTTTACTAAACCAAATGAAAATGTGGAAGTTATTCAAATATTGTTATTAAATGCTGTTTTTTTTTCAAGCAGACTTTAATTTTTTTTCTTAGAGATATTTTTTTTATTGTTGCTCTCTCAATATTTATATTCAATATAATGCAATCTTTATATATACAAAAATCCTTCAAAAATTGAAGCATGCAAATCAACTAAATCTTATCTTTTGAGCACATACTTATCCGTCGTTTACTTACTTTCATGTTGACCTGGGGTGGTCTTTTGTACAACCTTACAACATCCACATTTCACACAAATGATTAAAACAAATGGAACGGCTAGTATTGACAAACAAGAAACAACAATCACGATAATCATCCATGTGTCTCTGTAAGAATTAAGATAATCAATAATAAGAAATTTTTCTGATCGTGTGAATCTGATATTATCTAATTATCCATGTATTAAAGAGTCAACATTAAATGGTGAAAAAAAGTTAAAATTCTGAATTTTATACACCATTATTTCAATTTATGTTATAGGTATTCGAATTATCAAGGACCAAGTTAGTAAAACTACATATGTAATGTTGACGAATTGATTTATTTATTTATGTCGATTAACGCCTCGCTCGAGAATTTACACTCATATAGAGATGTCACCATTTACTTGGAAAAGGACTTCAAATTTAGACCTTTATGCCTAGGTCACATTTTCCGGCCGGTAGCCGGTGGTAATCGGTAGTAATCCGTGGTGTTATCGATGCCACAACATCGGTCTACATCGGCCCAGTAGTCTTTAAAGTATCAGTCACATTATCCAGCGATATGCATACGATAGGCAACCAATGCGTTTTAATATATTTATAATTGGTATCGGAAACACGTGGTGTTGTTTGTTTACGTGTTTAGAAAGTATTTATAGTATCTAAGATTTGATTGGATTTTTACGATTGATATGAGTTCAAATGAAATCGTGCGGAACAGGTAGTTTACCTGTGTCCAGGTATTAAGAATTAGAAGTTATTCGAGGTTTCGCTGCGCTTAGTGCAACAAGTAAAAAGTCGAATAGATGTCTCGGCAAAAAACAGATTTCTTGGCCCAATACCGGGAGGAAGATGAGTCTCTAGACGAAACTGTACTACAAGAACCCGCTGGTGAACGGAAAACCACTCGCAAGACGGCTAATTCTGAGGAGACCTCTGGATACTCTAGTCCCCGTGTAAGTGCGGACTTGGCCGATACATTCAACCTGTTCAAGTCTTACCTGGACAACAAACTTGATACTCTCAAGGAGGAACTCTCTACGGGTAACGACATCGAAAATTTAACAAAAACCATTAAAAAAGAGGTCTCTGTAAAATTCAAGAGTGAAGGGAACAAAATTCAGTTTAACTTTAATACTGAAATATTGGGTGATTTGAATAAACTTAAAAAGCGCATTTCAGATTCTTCCACATTGAGCATCGTTACAGAGCTCATTTCCAAGGTTACTAAACGTAACAAGCTCATCAGGATCGCTGATAAATCTCCGGCCGGGTGGTCGACAGTCTGTGAGTATGAAAGTGATGATTTGGCGTCCGACTCTGAGGACGAAAAACGTCTACGTCAAGCTGAAAACCGAGCATTACGAGCTATCAAAGAAAAACGCCGTTTTCAGCCATACTCCAAGTCTGGTTCTGCAACAACTTCGCTACCTGATGGTAGGTCTGGTGGTTCTGGCCGTAATTTTCGTCCCTACAAGCGTAAGGAGGCCTCTCCATACGACGTGTGCTACAACTGCCATAAGCTCGGCCATTGGAAATCCGCATGCACTGCCCCAGCCAGAACCAACAAACCAAGCACAAGCTCGTCAACCCAGTGATTATGAGAATCAGTATGTATATTTCGTTGATGAATCTATTTTTACTGATCAGTTTGAATCATTTGTACAGCAAGTAAATTATTTTGAAAATTTACCTGATATTGGTAAAGGGGTGAAAGGCAGTTTACGCAAACATTTTGAGTTTTGGAAGTCCATAAGCACTAATGAGTTCATATTAGATACTATCAAAAATGGTTATGCTATTCCTTTTGTTACAGTACCACCACGCATGAGACTAAATAATAACAAATCTGCAATGAAAAACCAACAATTTGTTGATCAGTCTGTTTCAGATCTTCTTGAGAGCGGCTGCGTACAAGAGGTTCCTTTTCAGCCACATGTGGTCAGTCCACTAAGTGTTGCAGAAATAAAGGGTCTGGTAAAAAGAGACTTATTCTGGATTTGAGTCAATTGAATTATTTTGTAGACAAAAGAAAAGTAAAGTTTGAAGACTGGCGTATTGCTTTGAATTTTTTCAACAAAGATTGTTTTCTGTTTAAATTTGATCTAAAGTCAGGCTACCACCACATAGATATTTGTAAAATTCAGATTACTTTTCTTTCATTCTGTTGGAAAGATAAGTTTTATTGTTTCAATGTTTTACCTTTTGGTCTAACGTCTGCACCTTATATTTTTACCAAGTGTCTAAGACCCATCGTGAAGTATTGGAGAAGCTGCGGAATTGACATTGTTTTGTATCTGGACGACGGTCTTGGTTTTGGTAAAGATTTACAAACGTGTGTTAAAGCATCAAATTTAGTTCAAGAGACTTTAGAAAAAGCAGGTTTGCTAATTAATATTGAAAAGTCTATTTTTCAGCCTGTCCAGTGTTTGGAGTGGTTAGGGTTGGTATGGAATACCAGTGTATTTTCTCTACGTATACCTGAAAGACGACTTTCTGATGCTCAGAACTCGATAGAATTACTTATTGATAGATTTCCCAACTTTACAGCTCGAGATCTCGCAAAAGCGGCTGGGAAAGTTATTTCCATGTCACCAGTTGTTGGTAATGTAACAAGTTTGATGACCAGACACATTTATTTAGCTATAGAGAGCAGAAGTCATTGGGATTGCTTAATCAGTTTTTTATTTCCAGAAGCAGTAAAATCAGAGTTGCACTTCTGGAAGGAAAATCTTGATAAGTTGAATCAGAAACTGTTAGTTAAAGACTCGTTACCAATAACGCTTGTGTTTTCAGATGCCAGTGACGTTGCAGCTGGTGCATATACTGTAGAAGCTGACGAAAAGGTTTTTCATAAAACTTGGTCATTGAATGAATCTGTTATGAGCTCCACGTGGAGAGAACTTAAAGCTATACAGTTAGCTTTAGAGTCATTTGCCAGTTCATTTATTGGAAAGAGTTTACTTTGGCATACTGACAATCAAAATTGTGTAAAAATTGTACAACGAGGTAGCACTAAATTACATTTACAAGATTTAGCTTTAGACATTTTTTCTAAATGTGTTGAAAATTCTATTTCGTTGAAAATTTGTTGGATACCTAGAAACCAAAACACAAAAGCAGATTATTTGTCTAATTTAGTCGATTATGAAGATTGGCAAACAACTCAAGAGTTTTTTAGTTTTGTTGACCAAATGTAGGGTCCTCATACTATTGATAGATTCGCAAGTGTGTATAACACAAAGTTAACGAGGTTTAACTCCCTTTTTTGGTACCCGGAGACTGAAGCAGTTGATGCTTTTACTCAAAACTGGTGTTTTGAAAATAATTGGTTAGTACCACCTATTTGTCTTGTGAGTAAAGCTATAAAACATGTAATAGCGTGTAAATGTGTGGGTACATTAATTGTTCCAAAATGGCCGTCTGTTGCATTTTGGACGTTACTGTTTGATGAAAATATGAAGTATAAACAGTGTGTAGTTGATGTTTTGGAATTTTCTCCATATCAGAATATTTTTATGCATGGCAAAAATTTGAACAGCCTGTTTGGCTCTGACAGCTTTAATTCTAGAGTATTAGCTGTAAGACTCAGTGGAGTCTGATGACATGGCCTTAGAAGGCATGGTCTGTGTACATATTAATGTTTGAATTTATTTTGTGTTTATTTTGACAAGGCCAAGTTTATGGCAAGGTCAAGTTTTATTATTAGATTGACATGGCCCTTAATTAGAATGCATTTCTTTTTAAGCCGGCACGGTCAGGAATGGAAAGACAAGGCCGTGCTTATCGACAAGGTCTACTGCGACAAGGCTTGGGTTTCCAAGCATGGTCGGTAATATCACTTTTATTTTAGTTTTGCAGATGTTTTCAAAACTGGAAATTGGATTTCGTTATGGAGGACCTCTCATCCCTCCTTACAATCGCTGGCAAAGAAACTTCCGGATTTAATCATGAATTCCAAGGCTGAAAACACAAGAAAAACGTACGGATATGCCTTCAATAAATTTCGTAAGTGGTGTTTTACACATAATATTTCATATCTTCCTGCAACGGATTTCCATGTATCGTTATATTTAACAAGTCTCAGTAATACATGTAGCAGTGCAGGGACAATTGACGAGGCTTTTTATGCAATTAGCTGGGCGCATAAATTGGCGGGATTTCCTAATCCCTGTTCATCCGAACTTACTATTTCAGCCAGAGAGGGATGCCATAGAACTATCGGGAAACAGTTGATAAATAAAAAAGAACCTATTACCTCCAATATACTGAAACAGTTGTGTGCTATTTACGGAGGTGAATCGTGTTCTTTGTTAGATATTAGAATTTATTATATAGTCTATTTATATTCCCTATATAATCTATACAAACGCAAACAGTTCATAACACTACATATTCACCGGATTTTAGGCCGTATTCACCAGAGGGGCAATGCGCGTGCAACGGCATTGTGACGTCACAATCAAAATATCAAACAACGTTGTAAACAATGGTTGCAACGGCCGCAGCGAGCTACGTATCTGAGCAGGAAAATAATTATTCAAACCTATTTCAGGATTATTTTTTGACATTTAGACTGAGTTACGCATAGGGAAACTCAGAAAGGAAAACACGGAGGTTAGAAACAGTAATATGGAGACTTTTTTTTATTTTCAACAATGGAAGTTCGTAAATTAAAGTGGCGTCGTCATTCGGCATTCAATGTCTTATCTATTCGAATTCGGACTATATAATAAAACAATTATGGACTCTTTTGGTGTTGAATATGGTTTGTTATTCACCAGAAAAATATCCATATTGATATATGTGCTTATTAAGTTATGCTGGTTTTTTAAGATTTTCAGAACTTGTTCATTTGAAGAGATCAGATATATGTTTTTATGACAATTATATGACTCTTACTATTCAGAAAAGCAAAACAGATTGTTATAAAGAGGGGAGCAATGTAGTTGTGTCATGTACGAATGAAATTACATATCCTGTGAGAATGACCAGAAGATATCTCAGTCTAGCAAACATTAACGACCAATCAAATGAATATTTGTTTAGATCTATCACTTATTGTAAAAATTCTAACACATACAAATTAAGAGGAGAAAAGTGCTTGTCATATACAAGGGCTAGAGAGATTCTTCTGGAAGCGCTCGCATCGTTGGGTTTAGATAGAACTAAGTTTGGTCTGCATAGTCTTCGCGCTGGCGGGGCTACTGCAGCGGCCAACCATGGTGTTTGTGATAGACTATTTAAAAAACATGGCAGGTGGAAATCTGAGACGGCTAAAGATGGTTATGTGTCAGAAAATCTTAGACAGCAACTGTCAGTTACGAAAAATTTGGGTATATAAAGTGTGGGTTTTTGCTTCTGTCTTTATTGGTCGAGGTCTGTTGCACAGACGCAGGCGATGCCGTTCCTAAACATGTGTTGGAGTTTTGAATTTATAAATAATTTATGTTCGGTTGAACTGGTGAAATAGAACATAAATATATTTATAATTGGTATCGGAAACACGTGGTGTTGTTTGTTTACGTGTTTAGAAAGTATTTATAGTATCTAAGATTTGATTGGATTTTAACGATTGATATGAGTACAAATGAAATCGTGCGGAACATGTAGTTTACCTGTGTCCAGGTATTAAGAATTAGAAGTTATTCGAGGTTTCGCTGCGCTTAGTGCAACAAGTCCCCGCCCACCCATCCTACTTTATAATGTATATATCTGATATGATTTAATATTTTCGTTTTTTATTTTGTAGAATGTTGTTTCAAAGAAGAATATTATTTGTAACATTTATGTATAATAAATGTCTGTTGCACAGACGCAGGCGATGCCGTTCCTAAACATGTGTTTGAGTTTTGAATTTATAAATAATTTATGTTCGGTTGAACTGGTGAAATAGAACATAATGAGAAAAATAGCGTGGTTGCCGGCCGGACTTACAAAGGTTCGGCGATGCATTGCTAATCAAATAACGATGTTCCAGGATAATCGGCCGATGTATATTCCATCCCTTATATTTGGTGAACATCGTTCGTACATCGGTCGACTACGGGCCAATGTTTGGTCGAACATCGACCGATGATCGGTCGTTATCTGTTGAACACCACTCAAACCCCCTGATGACTTCAGATTCAACGGATATTGGACGATGCTCGGCCATACATCGGCCGATCTTGAAAGATGTGTTAATGATGGGTTGCCGATAAGGAGCGATGTGAGGCATCGTTGGAGACATCGTTGAATTTTAACTACGAATTATTTCCTACCGATGACCCCACCGATTCGCAAAAAAGACTCGGTCACCATCCGATCACTAGTATTACCCAGCCGTCAACCACGCCATTTTCATCAAAAAACACATCGGTTTCTCATCGTATACCCCATCGTTGGATAATGTGACTTATACTTTACTCGGCACTAGGGGCCATTGAGCAGTGAGTGAGTTTTATTCTGACACGGGGATCTAAGGAACAGCAACTTTTACTTCAAAGTGCTTAGCGCTTGTTGAAGAAACACTTGCTACCTATCTTAAGCAACTTCGGTAAGTCTTGACCGGAGCTCGGACCCACGGCCTTCTATTAAGAGTGCAAGCGCTGTGAAAATAATTAACCATTCTTACAGTCTAGTTCTGAGGACAAGACGATATTCCATACATTAAGACAGCGATTAAACATTAAATTTACGGCTAGGGACTAAAAATATAACAAAATATTTGACAATTTTTTCATACCGTGACGTAAACTATGCAAAGTACATGTAAACGATGTGAAACTGCTTTTAGGCACATTAGAATGGTCTACGGTTTATTCTGACATTAACTGAATAAAGGTTGATTCTAATGGTCAGTGAAAGATGAAGTTGAGAAAGAAATATTTTACAATATGCACAATGTAAATATCGTACTTTGCGTGGGTCAACGGTATGAGGGTTGGCCCTAGATTTTTGGGATATGAAGTTCATAGGTTAGGGAGTATGAATCCAAATGCAGGACTTGAGACCGTTTCTTTGGATGAGACCGTATAAACAGAAACCCCCTATCGGAGTACGTACACGAACAAGATCCCTCACTGTATGCTCAAAGGCTCTGAGTTCCGAGCATAAAAGTCTAAATTTGCAGTCCTCCACAGGCAAATGGTGGCGTCTGTATTAGAGTTAATTATAAATATTCTCGAGAGAGCCGATAAAATGCAAACAAAAAGAAAACAAACATGCAAAGATCAAAGACTTCATACTCATTTCTGAGTGTTAACTGATTTAATTAGTGCACGAAAAGACAAAGAAATTAATACACGCTCCAGTAAAAAAGGACAAAGTAACTCAGCATTTAAAATACAAAAATGGTTTGTCTTCATTGCACATTCGTAAAATATATCTAGAATAAAATGAGCAATTCATATCGTTTCTTTTTACCACATAGAACAATCATTATGATTATAATCTCTTGGAAACTGACAGGCCATCAATACAGATTTCTAAAAATGCTTTTCATAAGACCACTTACTTCAAATATTTACGATATTGTTTTTCAATACCACTTGTCAAGCAATAAAGTAAGTTATAGATAAAATTTCATTTGATCAGGGACGACAAGGTAGAAAAATATATATATATATTATATATATATTTTATATATATATAAAACCATATATGTGAAAGTATACCAAAAACAATCAATAAAGATAACTCTAAAGCATGTAACGTAACTTACACTTAATATTAACATTAATTCATATATTATAATAAGCGTACACTGACAAACTACGAAATGAAATACAATGGATAATACATTATTTTTCTTACAGTCCTGCGGAGGAACTTGTTTTGCGAGATCTGTAGCTCCTTGATGCAGATTCCACAATACCAGCAACTGATTAAAAAATGACATTGGAACAATATATGTTTTAACTTTAGGTAACCTGCTAGGCTTCATTTTAAACTTTGTATTAAAGCCCTCATAGTCTACCTTCTACATTGATAGACGTCATATTCTTACAATCTGGCACTATATTCTGTCAAATTCATAGGAGTAAATTACAAGGTAAAATATATACTTACAAATTATAATTATTAAAGTAAAGGTCCATAAAAGCACATTTTTGTTGGCCATTTTTATTCCTATGTAAAATCTCCGTGCAATTTGTAGGAGTTTCAAAATACGTATGACCTAAAAACGGTTTGAATACCTCATGGGAATATCACGTTTCCATTGTGTTAAGGATTCATAATACAGATACTAAAAAATCTTAAACACACGATTAATGACAATGATATCAAATATTTCTACCTTTAAAATTCACATTTTTAACTTCAACTGAGGGTTATTCGTTTCGTAGTCCTATTTAATGCCTCTTGTGGATGTACATACTTAGTTTTTTTTTTTTTTTGTATACTCTCCTGTGGCAAAGAGGTTAGATGGAAAATACCTGGGGAAGAATAACCACATCCATACGAACAGCCTGGTTTTGTATTCGGACAACCATTTGAAAGTCCGTTTGTCCTTTATTAGACAAAATGCAGACCTTTGTGTTTAGATTACATGTATATATGAGTATTTAGAGAAACAGATTAATAAAACACTATATATTTTTTTATATGAATATATTATATTTTTGTTCTGTGTGTTGAAACATTTGGATTGCTTAGTTATTTTTACGTATAATTTAATTGCAATCAAATTCCAACCTTGCCTTTTTGTTTGTGTCAAACAGAGAACCGCCATGTCAGGTATCCGTTAGTATATTTTATTGTTTGTGAAGTGCTTTGATTGCATACACCAATGAATTTATGACAGAAAGCAATACTAGCATTTTTATAAACACAGTAAAGAATACAGTTCTTAAATGCAGATCCCCACTAAATTTGTTTTTAAATGAGATACACTGTTTAACATAAACCTGTAACATCAAATTTGTAAATTGTCTTTATGGTAATGCCTAGGTCACATTTCCCCACCGGTGGCCGTAGACCGGTTGTAATGCCTAGGTCACATTTCCCGGCCGGTAGCCGTAGACCGGTGGTAATCGGTGGTAATCCGTGGTGTTAACGATGCCCAAACATCGGTACACATCGGCCAAGTAGTCCTTAAAGTATCAGTCACATTATCAGCGCTGGGTATACGATGTGCAATCAATGTGTTTTATGATAAAAATGGCATGGTTGCTGGCCGGACTTACAAAGGCCCAGCGATGCATTGCTAATCATACAATGATGTTCCAGGATAATCGGCCGATGTATATTACATCGCTCACACATTGGAGATCATCGTTCGTACATCGGTCGACTACAGGCCAATGTTTGGTCGAACATCGACCGATGATCGGCCGTTATCTGTTGAACACTATTCAACCCCCCGATGACTTCAGATTCAGCGGATATTGGACGATGCTCGGCAATACATCGGCCGATCCTTGAAAGATGTGTTAATGATGGGTTGCCGATGAGGAGCGATGTGAGGCATCGTTGGAGACATCGCTGAATTTTAACTACGAATTATTTCCTACCGATGACCCCACCGATTCGCTAAATGGCCTCAGTCACCGTCCGATCACTAGTGATGCCCGGCCGGCAACAACGTCATTTTCATAAAAAAAAACGCATTGGTTTCTCATCGTATACCCCATCGCTGGATAATGTGACTGATACTTAATCGGTGGTAATCCTTGGTGTAAGCGATGCCTCGGTCCACATCAGCCTTGAAGTGCTTAAAGTATCAGTCACATTATCCAGCGATGGGCAATAACAGCAATTTTTGATAAACATGGCGTGGTTGCCGGCCAGACTTTACAAGGACCCAGTGGTGCATTGCTAATTATAAAGCGATGTTCCAGGATAATCGGCCGATGTATATTACTTCGCTCATACGTCAGTGAACATCGTTTGAACACCGGTCGACTACGGGCCAATGTTTGGTCGAACATCAACCGATGATCGCGGCCGCTAACTGTTGAACACCACTAAAGTATAAGTCACATTATCCAACGATGGGGTATACGATGAGAAACCGATGCGTTTTTTGATGAAAATGGCGTGGTTACCGGCCGGGCACCACTAGTGATCGGACGGTGACTGAGTCTTTTTTGCGAATCGGTGGGGTCATCGGTAGGAAATAATTCGTAGTTAAAATTCAGCGATGTCTCCAACGATGCCTCACATCGCTCCTCATCGGCAACCCATCAATAACACATCTTTCAAGGATCGGCCGATGTATGGCCGAGCATCGTCCAATATCCGTTGAATCTGAGGTCATCGGGGGGTTGAGTGGTGTTCAACAGATAACGACCGATCATCGGTCGATGTTCGACCAAACATTGGCCCGTAGTCGACCGGTGTACAAACGATGTTCACCAATGTATGAGCGATGTAATATACATCGGCCGATTATCCTGGAACATCGTTTTATGCTTAGCAATGCATCGCTGAACCTTTATGAGTCCGGCCGGCAACCACGCCATTTTTCTCATAAAACGCATTGGTTGCCCATCGTATGCACATCGCTGGATAATGTGACTGATACTTTAAGGACTACTGGGCCGATGTGGACCGATGTTGGGGCATCGTTAACACCACGGATTACTACCGATTACCACCGGTCTACGGCTACCGGCCGGGAAATGTGACCTAGGCATTAACCTCCCAATGACCTCAGATTCAACGGATATTGAACGATGCTCGGCCATACATCGGCCGATACGTGAAAGATATGTTAATGATGGGTTGCCGATGAGGAGCTATGAGGGGTATCGTTGGAGACATTACTGATTTTTAACTACGAATTATTTCTTACCGATGACCCCACCGATTCGCAAAATGGCCTCAGTCACCGTCCGATCATTAATGGTTTCCGGGCGGCAACCACGCCATTTTCATCAAAAAACGCATCGGTTTCTCATCGTATACCCCATCGCTGGCTAAAGTATCAGTCACTTTATCCAGCGATGGGGTATACGATGAGAAACCGATGCGTTTTTTGATGAAAATGGCGTGGTTGCCGGCCGGGCACCACTAGTGATCGGACGGTGACTGAGGCGATTTTGCGAATCGGTGGGGTCATCGGTAGGAAATAATTCGTAGTTAAAATTCAGCGATGTCACCAACGATGCCTCACATCGCTCCTCATCGGCAACCCATCATTAACACATCTTACACGGATCGGCCGATGTATGGCCGAGCATCGTCATATGTCTGTTGAATCTGAGGTCATCGGGGGGTTGAGTGGTGTTCAACAGATAACGGCCGATCATCGGTCGATGTTCGACCAAACATTGGCCCGTAGTCAACCGATGTTCGAACGATGTTCACCAATGTATGAGCGATGTAATATACATCGGCCGATTATCCTAGAACATCGTTTTATGATTAGCAATGCTTCGCTGGGTCTTTGTAAGTCCGGCCGGCAACCACGCCATTTTTATCAAAAAACGCATCGGTTGCCCATCGTATATCCATCGCTGGATAATGTGACTGATTCTTTAAGGACTACTAGGCCGATGTGTACCGATGTTGGGGCATCGTTAACTCCACGGATTACTACCGATTACTACCGGTCTACGGCTACCGGCCGGGAAATGTGACCTAGGCATAAAGTGACTGATACTTTAATAGGTTAAATATTCACAAGTCGGCCAATCGTCGCCCGATCATCGATCTCTGAGCTACAGTTTGATTTTAACCGTCGGCCGAAATTTCAACGACAGACGACCGACCTAATAAACTGACCGCCGATGGTCGGACGATGATCGAAGGTAGGTCGACGGATAACTGCAGTTGAAGAAATCGGCCACCGACGCATGAAAAATTAAAACTTGGACTAATTTACACAAAATCGGTCGGCCGACAAAAAAAAAGGTCAAAATCGGCCAAGACAACGGCCGATGAACTGACGACTGTCATCTAAAGAATCCCATTTTTGCTTCAAAACCCGTCGGCCGTTGGACGTTTTTTTTGAAATGTTACTGGGGTTTAAGGCAGATGAACAGACGACTGTTACCCGAAGAATCCTATTTTTGCTTCAAAACCCGTCGGGCGTTGTTCGTTTTTGGAAATATGAATGGGGTTTTAGTACTAGTAGTTGGTTATTAAAGCATCAGTCACATTATCCAGCAATGGGGTATACGATGAGAAATCGATGCGTACATGTATTTGATCAAGTTGGCGTGGTTGCCGGCCGGGCACCACTGGTGATCGGATGCTGATGCCTAGGTCACATTTCCCGGTCGGTAGCCGTAGACAGGTAATCGGTGGTAATCCGTGGTGTAAAGTATCAGTCACATTATCCAGCGATGGGGTATACGATGAGAAACCGATGCATTTTTGATGAAAATGGCATGGTTGCCGACCGGGCACCACTAGTGATCGGACGGTGACTGAGGCCATTTTGCGAATTGGTGGGGTCATCGGTAAGAAATAATTCGTAGTTAAAAATCAGTAATGTCTCCAACGATGCCTCACATCGCTCCTCATCGACAACCCATCATTAACACATCTTACAAGGATCGGCCGATGTATTGCCGAGTATCGTCCAATATCCGTTGAATCTGAGGTCATCGGGGGGTTGAGTGGTGTGCAACAGATAATGGCCGATCATCGGTCGATGTTCGACCAAACATTGGCCCGTAGTCAACCGATATACGAACGATGTTCACCAATGTGTGAGCAATGTAATATACATAGGCCGATTATCATGGAACATTGTCTAATAATTAGCAATGCATCGCTGGGTCTTTGAAAGTCCGGCCGGTGTAAAGACGAATAATAACCCCCATCGAATAATGACTGGGGGTCATTTTTCGACAGCAAAAAATGACCCCCGGTCATTATTCGACGTAGAAAAATGACCCTTTTGCCCGTAGAAAAAGTGTCACTTCCCTAAAAATTTGCAGAACCCACGTGAAGAAAAATGACCCCCGTAGAAAAATGACCCCCTGTAGATTAAAGCTAAAATTTTAAGGAAGCAAAAAAATGAGATAAAGAAGTATATTGGCCAAAAAGCTCACCTGAGCTAATTGGGAATAAACTGATGATAAGTTGATATCATAACATTATACAATTATAGCCATATTTTAAGGTAAATGCAATGATTCAGAATCTAAAGGAGTAAAAGATTTATCAAGCCTTAATGGTTAGATAAACATTGTTTTTTGATGGTGGAAATGA